TGATGTATTCTGCATATAAGTTAAATAAGCAGGGGGATAGTATACAGCCTTATCGTACTCTTTTTCCAATTTTGAACCAATTAGTTGTTCCATATCCAGTTCTAACTGTACCTTCCTGTCCCACATATAGATTTCTCAGGAGATAGATAAGGTGGTCAGGCACTCCCATTTCTTTAAGAACTTGCCATAGTTTGCTATGGTCCACACAGTCAAAGGTTTTTGCGTAGTCAATGATGCAGAAGTAGATGTTTTTCTGGAACTCTCTGGCTTTCTCCATAACCCAGAGCATGTAAGCAATTTGGTCTCTAGTTCCTCTGCCACTTCGAAATCCAGCTTGTACTTCTGGCAGTTCTCGGTCCACATACTGCTGAAGCCTACCTTGTAGTATTTTGATCATAACCTTGCCAGCGTGTGAAATGAGTGCAATTGTACGGTAGTTGGAGCATTCTTTGGCACTGCCCTTCTTTGGGATTGGGATGTAGACTGATCTTTTCCAGTCCTCTGGCCACTGCTGAGTTTTCCAAACTTGCTAGCATATTGAGTGGAAGACCTTAACAGCGCCATCTTTTAAGATTTTAAATAGTTCCACTGGAATGCCATCACCTCCACTGGCCTTCTTGTTAGCCATGGTTTTTAAGGCCCACTTGACTTCACTCTCCAAGATGTCTGGCTCAAGGTCAGCAACCATACTATCTGGGTTGTTAAACAATATTGTAAACAGTATTGATAACCCTTACTACGTCTGCAGTAAAATATCAATTTATGCAGTTGCATGGTCCTATCAGAATGTCACTCAATTTAGGTTAGCTTGGAGTGTTGATATGAGTAGTGTTAACATGCAGTACAAGCACCAGGCTTTAGCCGATTTAGATCTACAGTTTTATACCGAAAGTAATCAAATATTGGATATATTTCATGTATTTATATTAAATCAACATTTTTGTGCTTTTTATCTGTTTCCTCCTCTTATGTTTTCTAGTGTCCTCCAGGGATGAAACAGCAGGTTTTATCTTTTTATACGAAACTTCTGGGAAGAATACAACAGCCTCTTCTACCACACATAAATGTACACAGACCTGTGCAGGTACTGATTTAGTTTTGCAAAACCCCAAAAATTTTACACTGAATCTCTTTGAATATTACTTATAATTTTTCAATCTTGCTGGTTTAAGAGCTTTGATAGCAAAATTTGACCAAGTACTTTACTTTATTAAGTATTTTTCCAATAGTTTGATTTTTTTATGACCATTTTCTTTGACAGAAATTAATCAGACTTTGTGGTGAAGTCCTAGCAACGCCCACAGAAAATGAAGAAATCCATTTTCTATGCACAGTGTGTGCAAAGCTCAAACAAGATCCCTACTTGGTTAACTTCTTCCTTGAGGTGGGTTACCAGAAATGCATTCTAAATGATATCACAGATTTTATCCTAATTAGCTCTTTGAAAAAAAAAAAACCATTTCACACAAACGTATATAGGTAGTTGCATTTTTCTAGATATTATTTTATTTTATTTATTGTCTTTCTTCATATTTATATGGCTTATTTTTGTCCAACGATACCTGGAATGGTGTGCACCACAGTACCATATATAACAAATAACAATCAGATAATAAAATACATCACACGAAAGGTAAAAATGCAAATAAAAGTTAGCAATAACTTGAAGCCCACCAGACAACTTTGTCTTATGTATATGTAATGAATGTTTGCTATGTGAATGATGGGGTAGAGGTTTACTAACACTAAAAGGTCCATGGAAACAATTCTGCCTTACATCCCTTCCTGGATCCCTGGAGGGGTATCATAATTTGCAGGGACGTGGGAAGAGAATTCCAAAGTATAGGAGCAGCAACAGAAAAGGAAAATTTCCTAATATATTAAAGTGACATCAGGGCACCCCATAGATCTGGCAGTGTTTGTGTTTAGTTACGTATGGGGTGTATTTCTCCTTGTTTCTCTACAAATCATATTCATTTATATCTTCTAGTAGTATCCTGTAATTCTCTTCTGCTTTGCCTTCCCCGGTGCCTTATTAATCCCAGGCAATACTGCATTGATAATCTGGAAAGAATATCCATATAGTTGCTTCCCAAGATGTTATCTTCTTCATTGGTGAAAGCACGTTGGGAAAAGAAGATGCTACTGTGATAGTACTACTCTCCTTGCAGCTCTGAGTTCTCTTAATTTAATTCTTTTTTCCTGCCCTCTCTCTTTGTTAGCTTGATTATATGTACTACCTTACATAGATGGCCCAATCTCTAGATAGAGGCCTGACTTCAGTGTTATGTAAAGAATCTAGTTTATTGCTAATAATAAGTGAATGCAAGATAGAAATTATAGGATCCACCAGTGATCTGCAGTTTTGCAGGGCTAGTCATGCCGCTTGCCCCTTCATAGCTGTTTTGGAGCACATGCGCACAGAGAGAAGAAGGGAGAACAGAGCAGTATCACAATGGGTGCTACTAAAGGCCTTGGAGATCATGGAATTGATATTGTTGCTAGCACGGCTGCCTACACTACCTGTAGATGCAGTTGACATGTATGTCATGGGCTGCAACCTTGGAGAATCTTCAGAAATGTCCCTTGTCTAAGCAACAAAAAGTTGGAGAGCCCTTCCTTGGTTGCAAGCAACTCAGGGCTGTAACTGTGTTGCATCAGGCTTGGTAATCGTGAGGACCTCTTGGAGGTCTGTGAAGCACCAACCATGTTTGTGCCATAGGCAGACACAGGGAAAATAGCTGCACCATATCCTTTGACTCAGTGTACTCAAATAAATGTGTGTCACTGGAGCTCGTTGTGGCCCTGGCTGGGGGATATCATCCCGAGTCAGCCTCTGTGATACCACTCATAGTGAATATTTGCTCTAAAAGATAAGACAGTAGAAAGGGATAAGGATTCTGTATAATTGGATTTTCCTCTTTTATTTCTCTTGTAATATCTTGTGGAGAGCTTGGTGCAATCCTTCAGTGATTGTCAGCTTTTTTTTCTGTTTGGTGTTCCTTTTTCTAAAAGTAACAATGAAGAGTAATTAGTGTTTGCTGTTGTGTGATTATCTTTGTACCCAGAAGTGGGGGCTTTATCTTCTGTTTGCCAGTGGAATCCCAGGGACCGGATGCTGCATATATCGCTGTATTATTTTATTGGCATCCGTTGCTCAAATATCCAACGACATCAGTCACAAGTTGTACCTAACAAGATGCAGTAGCTCTTTGGGAAAAAGCCAAAATTTTATGTGTCCCTCCTTGTCTTATTAGAGGTTGCAGAAATTAAAACCTCATGTAAGAGTAGTAAATAAACAAAGCTGTTCTGCAAATTTGTCACCAGTCATTTGCATAAAGGACTGATTTACGCACAACAGTAAGGAATATATATGGAGCTTTTTCATGTTTCATATGGATTTGTAACGAGGAGGCCTATGGAAGAGAATTTTACAGTTTGAATGTTCTTTTCTGCTGTAATGGTTAGAGACCACATTTGAATGTTACTTTGAATTAATTTTCTTAGAGACTTGGGTGTACACAGTTTGTTATAAGCTGTGTAATCAAAAAGGCTATGCCAATCAATCCCTGGTCTATAATTAAAACAAATTATATGAACAAAGTATTTGTACCTTTTTGTTTTGCACATTCTGTTTCCTACCAGTAAGGATAAGAAAATCATGTAAATTAAAAAAAAACAACACTTCAAATGTTATAATTCTGTGTGTTACATATAGAACATAGGGAGGACCCTGCTGAATGAGACCAGATGCTTGTCTAGTCAAGTATTTCAACAGTGGCCCTGGAAGGCCATAGAGTTTGTCCTAATCAGAACAGTGCATAATAGCAGGAATATGAAAAGGTGTACAAGATTGCAGTCCCACAGTCTGTTATTTGGAAGTAAACCTCATTGAACTCAGTAGGACTTACTTTTGAATTGTTATCCATAGAATTTCACTTCACAAATGTTTAAGGCTTTAAGACCATTTGATGGCTGAAAGCTGCTGCTGATTTCTGAGCCATCACCAGATATTTGTGAATTTCCAAGCTCTTTCTGGAAAACCTCATGGAAGTTATTAAGATAATGTCTTCTGTCATGGAAAGCAGATTCTTGTTTTTGTGGTGGTATTGCAGGAGCAGGGAATGTAAAATGTCCATTTATCATTTTAATACTTTGGCCAGAATCATGTTGTAGAATTATATCTGCATAATCTGAAGTTGCGTAAACAGTTCTAAAAATAATGCTATGGCAGAAACCACATCCAGCGAGTGGTTTAGCAAGAGCAACTATGTGACTTAATTGCAGTATCAATTGTGTAATCAAGAATGAGTGCAGTCTACCTTGCATGTAAGTCCCTATGATCTTCCACAGGCTTAACTACGGTATGCCCTACACCAAGAGTAATAGGATTTCATCTTTTCCCTTAGAGGTTAAGTAATTTCTCCTATGTTGTGGAAATTTCTATATCCTGCTTATTTTTAATCATTTAATCTTCTCTGGTGGTCTTACCTTCAGTAATATTTGAGGTGAAGGTACACAATCTAAACATTTTGAAAGAATTTATACAATAATATTATTCTTGGGGTGTGTGGTTACTCATTTATTTTTATTTGGCATTCTTTTCTTAGCCCCAATAAATTATTTTCACGTGTCATTTCCACTGAACTGAATTGGGTTTTTTCTTTCTGTTAAGTTCTGCAAGTTGTTGCTTGTTCTTGCTGTCCTCAGTGATGTGGTAGTGAAGTCCCTTGGTGTTGGTGATCTTGAATCAGAAAACATAGAGCCTGTTTCATTACACTTTCCTACTAGGTGATTCAAGACCCTGTCCTACATACTTCCAGGAGACAGGTGAGCAGGTGGGACTCAGTGCTGCATGAAGAGACCAGGAAATCTTGAGTGTTTTCTTGAACTTGATGCATAAACTGTCTTTGTTCTTACTGGTGTTGCAACTTACTAACCTTGGGGAACAGACTTTCAGGGAGCATCTACTGTATTGGTGTGGCCTGTATTGTTCTCAGTAAGGCAGGAGAAACAGAATCTTTAGAAGTGGTCCAATAGTCACTTTCAGACTCTTTTGATTTCTGTGTTTAGCCACTTCGGTCCATGTCACTGTTGCCAGTTGGTAATCTCGCCCTTATTTCTTCAGTGTTTATGAGGGCAAAGACTGTCAACCTATTTTCTACACTTGTAAGGCCCAATTTAAAAGGGACACTAGACTTTTTTTAAGGGCCTTTAGGGTTGCAGGCAACACTGTTGTGTATGAAGTGGGTCTCTGGATCTCCATGGTTGTTAAGAGCATACTGGCAGTCTAGTGCATTAATGTCACCACATATCAGAACTGGAGGAGTTCAGAAGTCGTGGCAACTACATGTAGCCCAGCACAAAAACATTTCTTTTACATACTCATTGGCTGAATTCTGTTGCTTAGCACAGTAAGTTGAACTAGAGTAGACTAACTGAATCAGTGGATATTTGGTGAATTAAGTTAATCCATAAGTGGATTCAAATGGGCCTATTCTAGTTGCAATTTACTGTGTTAAAGTTAGGCACAATAGGAATAGGCCCATTTGAATCAAAGGAAATTATGGAAGAGTTGACTCCCCACTGATTCAACAGGTCTGTTCTAGCAAAACTTATTATGCTAAGCAATAGGCCAATCTCACTTTTAAATTGACTCAGTTTACAAACTGGAAAGGAGCTAAATTTAATCCATTTGGTAATTAGTCAGGCATTTCTGTGGTAAAATTTTGCAGGGAATATACATGGGTGGTGGGGCTTTTATACACTAATATTTGTGCCATCTTTCTCTCACTAATGTTTACACTGAGAATCACCTGAGATATAATAAAAATCTAGCATGCAGCAGCTCTGAGTTCATTTTTTGTGATGCATGGAATGTGGCATGTTGTTCCAGCACTTGACAGGAAGAGAAGCTAAGTCTCATAAAATATTGCTCAGGCTTAAGGACAGATATGTGCACAATTGGTGTTTATGCAACTTAATTTTAATAGAGGAATGCCATTCTACAAATTGTAAAAATATGAAGCCATTAACTTCTTACTTAAGGATGTTGATCTGTGTAAACATACTTTTTACCTCTTACGGTGAATACTGATGGACTGAATCAGTATACTTATTAGCAGACCTGAAGACTAAAAAGCTGAAGCAGATTTGCAGTGAGAAGTGTAAGTCTTCCCCATGAAGAAAGTGGCATAGCTTGCAGTGTTTGAAAAAGGCTTCTGGATCTTGCTATAGTGTCAGGCAAGCACCCCGGGAATTACTGCTGCTGCTTTGCACACACCTTTTGTTTTTTGTTTTTAAAAAAGAGATATATAGCTTAGAAGCATGAGATTAGATTGGGATCTGAAGCTGTTTCCAGTCCCAGAGAGATAAAATGGATTGGGGTTGTGACCTAAAAATCCACATTTTCGCTTGAACGTGTTGGTGTCAGAAGGTTGCCTGCACATACTAAATTTGACATTACTGCTGAAAATTTGACAAATCGGGTGGCATCTACTTCATTCAGTGGCTTAAGTATACCTCTTGCCAGAGGAATTATTCCAGCCTATGCATTTTTTTTTACCATTTTTATCATTTCTGCTCACCTTCAGCTTTTCTTTTACTTGTGCCAAAGCCATGTGAAGAGGACTGTCATCATTTTTGCCAATTTAGCATGACTGAAATTGCATGCTTTCACTCCTTTTGAAGGACAGGACGTGTAGGATTGCCAGTTTGTGGTGGATCTGTGCAGTATACTTCAAATTCTCGAAAGTATTAACATTCTTGTTTTACTTTTAAAATTTTGTGCATTATACCTAAAAAAGCAAGAAGAAGAAATAATTAACTGGCAGGGATAAAAGTTCACTTATATAACATGCGGAGTGATGATATAATAGATACATTTTGGTAATCACAAGGTAATATTTGGTGACATCTGGTCCAAAATATGAGGGTGACTGATAGACACCAGAATGTGAAAGGTACAACATGGCAAGTTATTCACAGTGAGTTGCTTATGGTGGTAATGACCGACAAACATCTTCTTTATTGCCATGCAGTAAAAATGGGGGTTCTGACCTCTTATTTGTTGCACTGTTTGATTTATGTCTGCTCCCTCCCCCTCCCCTCCCCCTCCCAGTCCTTTGTTATTTCTTTTATGGAAGAATCCCAAAAAGCTGTGCTAGATACACTTGTCTTTGTCACCTAATTACCATTGCTATACTGTACTCTGGCTGCAGCCCTGTTGGGTGGGGGGCGGGCTGCTTTCAGGGATTGGGTAACACCAACATTATTGCCAATATAAAAAGTGACATTCACACAACAAGGGAACACAACCAGCAAGACTGAGAGTATGTTATGGAACAACAATGGGATGGAAGAGAAATGTACATTTACATAAATGGCGAGGAAGTGGAGAGAGCTGGTAGTTTTAAATTTCTGGGCACTTACGTCTCAGAGGACCTCTCATAGACTATAAATGCCAACATACCAGTGAAGAAGGCTGTATTTCCTGAAAATGCTTGGGAAGTTATCTCAGCATTTACTTCTGTCCTACTATCATAGCACCATTGAGAGTGTCCTAACCTATGGCATTCTGGCATGGTTTGGGAGTAGCTCTGTAGCGGACAAAAAAGCTCTACAGAGAACCATTAAAATTGCTTAGAATATCATTGGGCTCCAGCTGCCAACCCTGGATGACATCTTCCCATCCTGCTGTCTGAAGAAGTCACACAACATCCTGAGAGACTCTTCCCATCCTGCTTACAACTTCTTTGAACTGTTGCCGTCTGGCAGAAGATACAGAACAATTAAGACTTGGACCACACGTTTTCTCAACAGTTTTTATCCCAGAGCTATAATTGTACTTAATAATGAGCTTAAAGACCACTAGTAGTGAATAGTTACTTGGACAGTGTTACTTAGCCTATGGTGTAGACGTTTGCAATCCCGCAGTGGGGGATTTTTAGTGGGTGGGGAGTGTTTGGAGAATTTTTATGTGTGTGCATGTGGGTCTGGGCTCTGGGTGCCTGTGTGAATTTCGTTGTATGGGTATACCATGTATATACTTTACAATGACAATAAATTATTTGAATTGAATTGAACATCTTAGTTTTTCCAGATATTGTTCTGAGTTCTGATATATACTTTAGCAATTTGTATAACTCCTGCATATCCTAGTGCAAGGTGGAATGAGTTCCTTTGCAGAGAGTCAGAGATAAATTATGTATTTAAGACTTTACAAATTGTGAGAGTTCTAATGGAGAGCTTTCTTTTGGGGCAGTCTCCTCAGATTCATGTGTATACATTTAAGTGACTGAGAAGCTGAGAGCCTCTTCAAGAAACCAATATTGCAGTTGATTGCTTCTTCTTGTTCTGTTTTTTTTTAAAATGATATTAGTGTATTAGTGTTTTTGTGCCTTTGTGTCTCTGCTTGCTTTGATTTAGGAAGTATTCAACTTGCTGTATTATTTCTGCTTTGAAGCAAACAACAATTTTACCTATGTAAAGCTCTACCTTTTATCTAACACTTTTCAGAACAAGCTAAAAGGGATGGCTTCTAAAGGAGCAGCAAACATAATTGTAGAAGACACACTAAAAGGCCAGGATTCAGTGGCGGCAGATACACGACATTCTGTTCAGCCTGAAGAAACATCAAGTGGAGCGGAGCAAGCTGAGAGAGAGAATGACCTTCCTCAGCAGGCAGATGACCTGTCCACAAGTCTAGATGAATTAAATATCCCTTCATCTCCTGAGGCCTTGGATGTGCGTCCACATGGGGACTATAATTTAGTGAATTCCCTGCTTAATCTCACCAAAAGCCCAGTAAGTGACTATCTGGACAGAATTAATGATTTGGATTCTGCATCTGAGCAATTTTATTGATTGCTCAGGAATAAAGGCAAAAAATGTTGAAGGTTGTAATATGTTATAAATTAACTGCTCCATCAGATTTTTGGAATACATTTTATTGTGTTTGGCTCAATATTTTGAATACAGGTTGCATATCTTTGCTAAAATGGTGGCAGTTAGGCTTTTCTTTCTCTTTCATCACAATTGTGGCTTTGTGTGAAAAGAGATAGGTTTTGCAAAATATTTTCTGCAAAATAAAATGTCTGTCTGCACTCCATAGCTAAGTATTCCAGTAATAAAAGAGTAAAGGCAAAGACTTGTATCAGTAATTAAAAATGTCCAGAGAAACTTTAATCCCATCAGAATTGTGAGTTTGGCTTTCAGAGAAGCTCATGTCTAAAAATATGGTATATTTCAAAAATGATTTGGTTAGGTTACTTAGCTGTTGTTATTTGTCCTCCTTTTCACTGTTACGATCATGGCAGATTTATTTTTAACCAAAGCTCAGAGGCAGCTCAGAACATTCCCCAGGTCATGCTGTAAGTTGCATAGCCTTGCTCAAAATAGTATGTACTAAAATGAAGCAAGGTAAAGTAACATACTCTGAGCCACAGCTCACTATGACTTGCCATGCAGAAATTTAGAAGTTTATGATTTTGCTTTCCCTTAACCACAGTTTGTAGTGTTAGATGGATTAACAACTCAGATTTATCTTCTGTCATTAGTTTATAACACGCCACTTCAAATTATGATTTGGGGAACTGGCTTCTTTAAATTAATCCTGGTTAATGTTAACCAACATTCCTGATTTCAATAAATTAACAAATAGTGGTTAACTGAATGTAGAACTGAAGTGACAGATAATCTCTCCCCCTTATCACAACAATACACCCACAACAAAAAACACGCTGATCACCATAATCGCCCAATCTCCTGAACAGGACAAAAGCTGATCCCACAGCTATAAATACTCAACTGTCCAAGCAAACTGCACCAGACAGAGTTCTGACTCCAGTCCTCTGAAGATGCCGGCCACAGAGACTGGCGAAACGTTAGGAAGAAGCCTGAAAAACCCATAAAAACCAGTAGAACTGAAGGCTTCAAAACTAGAGATGGGGTATTTGAATTCGTTTACATTTGTGGATGTTCTTTGATGCATTTTTAATTAGCTGTAGTAGACCATCATGGAAGTTTTGAATCAAAGGGTACAATACAATGGATTAAATAATGCACTCACTAGGTTTCTTTGTCAATAAAAATATACAGTACAGACATGGAAGCCTGTACAGCAGCACAAAGAAACAACAGTGGTTGAAATGACTGTGTTACCAGTATTTTATTTCCACCTCTCTATGTGATAGGATGGCCGAGTAGCCGTGAAAGCTTGCGAAGGCCTCATGCTTCTAGTGAGTTTGCCTGAGCCAGCTGCTGCCAAATGTTTAACCCGGAGTACGTGCTTATGTGAACTGCTGACGGACAGGCTGGCCTCTCTTTACAAAGCTCTCCCTCAGTCAATGGATCCCTTAGATATTGAAACTGTGGAAGGAGTTAACTGGGGGTAAGAGTATTGTTTTTGCTTATTTAAGTTATATGTTATGCTTTGTGAATATTATGTGTGAGGTATATCTGAATAACACACCAATTAAGATAGTTTGTGCTTGAGATGTCTTTTCAACGAATAAAAATGTTAACAGATCTATAAACTATAAGTATTATGTAAGTGTTTTGGTGGAACTATTACTTTTGATTATATTATGGTGATGATAAATACCAAACATGTGCTTACTTCCCCTTCTCTTACTGCATTTCAGCTTGGACTCCTACAGCCACAAAGAAGATGCATCTGCTTTTCCAGGGAAAAGAGCCTTGATTTCATTTTTGTCCTGGTTTGATTATTGTGATCAGCTCATTAAAGAAGCTCATCAGGTTTGAGATGAATGCTTTCACCCTTATGTATATATCATCTGAACCATGTTTAGAAAACAGTATTTCCTAAATCTGAAAGGCAACTTCTCTGTGCCCTCCTGCATTTCAGACAACTGCTGCGGCCTTGGCAAGCTCAGTGCGGGAACGTTTTTTTGTTGGTGTAATGGAACCCCAGCTAATGCAAACGTGAGTAAGCTGTTCATGTAAATAAAAGAGGTTGCTTCTTCTCTCACCCCACTCCTTCTACAGCAAGAGTGTATGTAATTTGCTTAAAAAAACAACAACACAACTCTTCTTGTATCAGTTCAGAGATCGGAATTCTAACATCAACTGCCCTCTTGCATCGTATTGTGCGTCAAGTCAGCTCAGATGCCTTAGTGCATGAGATGGTATACTTTATCCTTGGAGATCAGAGAGAGCCAGAAAAACAGATGGACATAAACAGGCACCCATTGCGACATCGCTTAATTGAGCACTGTGATCACATCTCAGATGAGGTAAGAAATTGAAATACAGCATACGTATGTAGTGATGACTGCCAAGATCATTGCCATTTCACTATCAACTATCCTCAGATATTTATTAAGAGTGTTGATATTCAACATTATAAAAAAGGGGGAGGGGAAAATGACTGTGTTTAGGGACTTTATCTGTAGACATCTAAAAGTGATAATGTCCTACATCAAGGTCAGATTTTTATAACAGCCACTGATCCTGCTCTAGGCTCTTTGTAGTGCATCAGAGAATCAATTTTGAGTAATCCACAGAACAGAGTGCTGAAATACAAATAGCTAGAGTCCTGGATTTGTCTGCCTGTCTGTGTTTGTGAACTGGTAACCTGTTACTAGGTTATTCCTGCTGTTTTGTCTGCCATTCTGTTAGGGATGAACAATTGATAGCATTGAGAAGAAACGTATGTGAGAAGTAGAAGACTACTTGATGGGCACTGCAGTATAAAGAAGTGCACAGGATGTATGCTGCAGGGAAACCTTCCTTGAGGAAGAAACCTTCTTTTTTTAATGTTTCTTTTTCTTTCTTTTTTAAACATTGCAGATCAGCATAATGACACTCAGAATGTTTGAGCACCTCTTGCAAAAACCTGATGAACACATTCTTTATAACCTGGTTCTTCGAAATTTGGAGGAGAGGAATTATACAGAATATAAACCTCCTTGCCCAGAAGATAAAGATGTGGTAGAAAATGGCCAGATAGCAGGGGCCGTGTAGGTTTTCTTTCTTTTCTCATTTTCTTCCCATTTCCTTTGGGTCACTGAAATCTTTCAGCTGCCTTTGTCATAATTAAAGTTTGCTTTATAAATTAAAGGACTTACGTTTTGCTAGGCTGAAACACTGTTGCATCTAAATATAGAATTTCTATTTTAGACCAAGTAATGGACATTTTAAAATGATTATATCCCAGATACTTTGCACATCCTCACTGATGATTTTTGCACATTTCACAAATCACTTTTTCATATTTTAGGCTGCAATTCCAAATACATTGACTAAGGAGTGAGACCCAATGAGTGAGATTCATTGCTGAATGAAGAAATACTGTAAAGGACTGCAGTGGAAGTCAGTGTCTGAGTGAGGGAGTTGAATACAAAAGGCCACTCTAGTAATTCATGATTTTTTGGCACATTTGTTTCTTTTGGTCCAACTTAGCAGCACAAAAAACCTGTCGTATACAGAAAAAAACACACACACACAAAACAAAAACACACCTGTTAGTCTGTTTAGCTTAGTATTATCTCCCTCCTATCTGGGGTAGGAGGGAGTATGAAATTGTCCCTCCTACTTCACCCCTCCACCAGTGCCTTTAGCTATGTAATGTTATGGGGTTAGGCTCTTTCCCCGCTTTAAATTTCTCCCCTCCCCTCCCCTCATCTACCCTTCTGCCAGTACTCATATTCAGTTACCCTGGAAATGAGCATTGAGGGAGACACTGAATTCTCTGCCTTTCTCTGCAAAGAGGATGTGCCCTTAGCTACCTAGTTGGACAGGAAGGGCTACATAAAGATCTTGAACTGCACACCCTGCTCACTTCCCAGCAAGAAGAGGGAAAGAAAGGCCTTAGATGTCCTCTGCAAGCAAGCTTTGACCTACTCTGAGTGGAATAGTGTAACCTCTCGATGACAGTTTTCCTCTTACATGCACATATTAATCCAGTCTGCACCTCATTGATCTATGTGACTTGATCAGTATAAGAATGTATTCTGTGGGCCACTTTGTTCTCAGTGGTATTTGGCAAAACTTAAAGCTGTTGTTGATTAATTTGAAGGAGCTGATGTGAGAGCACTGAGAATTCTCTAGGTTTGCACATTGCTGTGGTTAATTTGGTGTCTTTCACCATGGGTAAGAAGTACCTAAGCCCCTTTTAGACCATGTGCTTCCTTGTCACTGCACAAGGTGCAGGGTGCTAAGTAGAGTCAAGACAACATTCAAAGAATTGTGACACTAATTCTAGGTATACTTACAGAGACCTTAGTGTTTCTTTCTTTCTTTGAGCATATTTTGAAAGCAGCTTGTGATTTGAAATAAGTTTTAAGCATTTTTAAAAAATCCTTGTTTTTCTACTAAACATTCACAGAGATCTGGAAGAGGATCCATTATTTACTGACCTTTCTCCTGATACCATGTTGTCAAACCAAGAGTGGCTTAGTGCTTCTCCACCTGTCAGCCCAGATCATTCAAAGAATGATGGGAAGACAGAAGTTCACAAAATTGTAAATAGGTAAGTTGAACTTTATAATAGGTAATTTTTCAAAATAACTGCAGCCTTCTCATGATTCTTCTGTGTTATTAAGTAGCAGCCCCATTTCTATGTGCAAGATTGGTAAGGCTGACACAATTAGATAGATTAGGCATCCTTCAGTCTCGAAAGACTATGGTAGCGTGCTCTGTATGGAGGACTTGGAACAGCGTCTAGTGTGGCTGAGGAGGCCAATTCGAGAGTGACAATCCCTTCCACACTGAAGACAAATCCAATCTGTCCCCTGTCCAGCTCCCTGGTTTTGCTGCTTTTGTGACTTCCTCTTTGCCTCGGCCTGCTGGGCAAGGGTCGCTTCAAATTGGGAGAGGCCGCGATGTAGTGCCTGCCTCCAGGCTGAATGCTCGGATGTCAGGGTTTCCCATCTGTTGAGGTCCATTCCTAAGGCCTTCAGATCTCGCTTACAGACGTCCTTGTATCGCAGCTGTGGTCTCCCTCAGGGGCGATTTCCCTGCACTAATTCTCCATACAGGAGGTCCTTTGGAATCCGACTATCAGCCATTCTCTCGACGTGCCCAAGCCAACGTAGACGTCGCTGTTTCAGTAATGTATTTATGCTGAAAATTCCAGCTCGTTCTAGGACTACCCTGTTTGGGACTTTGTCCTGCCAGGTGATACCAAAAATCCGTCGGAGGCAACGCAATAAGTGCTATGTATATGGAAGTGCTGTGTATGTGTCATTTTCCTATGAATTACAGCCTGAGAATCTAAGGAAAGGTATGGTAGCCCATCACCTTCCTGCAGCTACCGTCTGTGTGAGAGGCCACTGGCACACACACCTATGTGTGTAGGTGTTTGTGTGTCTGCAAGAGAACGAACAATGGGGAATGAGCGAAAGAGTGAGGGAAATAGTGTGGCAGAAAGGAGACTTTAAATACAGATCATTGAGCTTCATGGAATATAATGAATCTGACAGAGATGTTCTTGCTGCATCGTTCCAAAGCTGGATGCCATTTGACATCTTTGACTTAGTGCTTCAGGCTTGTTTTTATATTTTCTCCATTCACCGTTATCTTGCAATTAACTGTGAAATAACTGTTGTACATTCAGCCATTATATTACAAAGGTTAACAGTGGAGAAAATGGTTGGTTGATATGGTGGAAATTTACCTCTAGGTTGCATATGAGAAGATACCAAACAGAAAGCTCAAAGAGAAATATCCTTGAGAAGAAACGTGCTGCTGAGGGGCAGCAGGAGGGCACACTTTCCCTATAATGGAGAGATGGATGTTGTATTTCTACAGTTCTGTTGGTTCATAAAAGATGTGTTGTAAGATCACACTCTTGTGTGTTGTTCAAGCCAAAGAAGCACAGAGTCTTATCCAAAAAGCTGGATGGACGGAAATGTTGCTTTCCCCCTCCCTGGCATACATCTACCCACACTCTCGTGGCAATAAAATCATACTATGTTTACTCAGATAGAATATTAATTAGCGTTTGTAAATATTGGAACACTTGTTAATTTTCAGATAAGGGACCTAAATTAGATATAAACACTGATCTCTAGAACTATTTGTAATTAACCTATGGAAACTAGAGTAAACAAAGGGAAAAAGAGGCAAACATTTGCAGTACGTACAATACTAAGGTAGGGAAAGGAAGAGGTCGGGGGGGTAGGCTGTGGTATTGGGTGGCTGTGTGGGGTGGTGACTGCCGGTAGGCAGAATGGTTTTGTTTTTGTTTTTTAATACAAAGGACGAATAGAAAAGGGTAGATATTCATCCCTTCATATTTGTTAGGGGTCTCTGGAACCCACAAATACGGATTGATGAATATTTAATGAATCAGCTATGTTTGTCAGAAAAACCAATCCTTTTTAATATGTGTCCCCATCTCTAGTGTTGATGTTTTTTACCCTAAAAAGTAACCAAAAAGTAGCTAATAATTAAAAAGAAAAAGTGCACTCAAACCAGTTTAAGTGTGAAAAAAACCAAGAGTGGAATAAAACAACTATATTGTAATCAACAGGGGAGGCAGATATTTTAAACCTGAATAAAAATCTGGGTTAAATAGAAAGCTTTCTCGAAGCCAAATCACTCTTCTGTAGGGGAAAATAATTCTACCATGAGCTTCAGTAGGAGAAGCCCTGTCTTCTAGTAGCTCATCTGTGGAGTGTGAGAGGAAACCATGACCTCTGATGTTCGACACAGTTGGACATCAGAGCTTGTGGGGTAGGAAGACATCTATACTGACTGCATACCAGTCTGGCCCTTGAAAAGTTGAGCTGTGAGTACTAATATAAAAATAGCCGTAGGATTTTACAGTTGCCAATCAGCAAAAGGTAAATAAATAAAAGTGTCTTTGTGTTTGTGTGTGTTTGGTTCAGAAAAAAGTACTGTAGCGTTTTCTTTAGCTTTATTAATAAAAGAAACATTTTCTTCACAGCTAGAGAGAGCCATGTTAGGCAGAACTCTTGATAGACCAAATGACAGCAAACTGCAGAAATGAAGTTTCAACCCAGGATCACCCATTGTTGGCCATGGGTCATAATTATCTTTCTTACATAATGTAGCTTTATTAAATCAGTTGATTAGAAAGCAGTTTATTAAATCACTGCAGTAATCCGATTAGAAACTTACACTCAATTCCAGTAGGGATTTAAGTCTGCTTTGTATAACTTGTAAATACTATTTGATTTGTTACTGTATTTTTTTTTGTATATCTAACATGGCTGACCATGGTCATAATAACAATAAAGTAAAATAAATGAGTAAATAAGTAAAGGAGTGGTGGGTTCTACTGTTGATGCATGTGGATTAATAGATTCTCCTGGAAGGAGTTGGTTCTTCATTCTCTTGGTTATGGTTGGACAGTGCTCTTTTGTGGGACATACCAAAACAGTCTCTCGCTAGAATATATGCAGTGGAATCAGAAGGAAGGACACCTAACCATATACATATTTTACCATTTGCAATTTTTCTGTTTTTCCGGGAAGTAGTGGAGATGGTAGGGTGGCTGAAAATGAACATATATATATATATATTTCTGTGTTCCACTTGGTATTTGCAATAGTAGACAGAAATGGAATGTACATTGCAGAAATTAGAATGTGTAACTGCTTGTGTCAAGCATGGATCCAACCATGTTTGGCATACCTGCTATAATGGTATTGAAACAAATTACCTTGATCTGTTTCTCTTTTTAGTTTTCTCTGTCTTGTACCAGATGAAGCCAAATCTTCCTACCATGTGGAGGGTACAGGTTATGATACCTACCTCAGAGATGCTCATCGACAAGTGAGTAACAAAAGAAAAATGTGGTGTCGAGATATAGTGGATGGAATAAAACAGTGGCAGTAAGGGAATATTATTGTGGAAATGAAATACATTTGTTTATTTATTAGATTTTTACCCCACCCCTCTAGACAATGTCTACTCGGTTTTCATTTCATTTGTCTATTTGTTTCATACTGAAATTGATTCAAAATAACAGCATTATAATTCCCTTTTCTTGACACTCGTCTACCTCAAAATTGCATGCATAAGGCTATACTTTACTTGCAATAAGCACTTGTTTAAAAAGCAATGGCTGTGTAGCTTTTCCACAGTGACCTGCACCTGTCAAATATCTTGCCACTGTAAGAGAATACAGATAAATATAAAAACAATTTTTAAAAACTAGCACCTGACTGTTATGCATCATTCTACTGCATTAAAATATTACTGTACCTCAGTTAACGTATTGAGAACACAGTAATGAGCAAAACAGCTTTGTGAGATACTGTTATTTCTTGTCAGCTGAGTTATGAAGCATATTCTCTTTTACACACCCACACCCACTGTAGCATATATACGAACATATTGTCAAGAAGCCAGAGAGAGAATTCAGCAATCGGGTGGCTATAATGGTCTTCAAAACCACAACACATCTCTTAAGAAGGAAAATGAATGATGCTAAACTGCATTTAGGGTTCTGGGGCCAATTAAGAATTGACATGTTACCTACCTGTAATTGTAGTTCTTTGAGTGGACTTCTGTGATTCACACTATGGGTGATCTGTGCATGTGTGGAGCCTTGTCGAAATATTCTAGAGATTCTGCGGTAGCAAAAAGATACATTAGTGCAGACCGCTCCCCCTTGGATATATGTACCTTGGCGCCAAGGCTCTCC